ATATATATATAAAACAATAGAATATAGGATACGAATACCATGTATGGACTTCAGAAACACTTTATTGGAGAAAACCAATATTTCGACCTATCCTTTCAAGCCTCATTCAGACAGAAAAATTATTGAACTCAAATATATTCTCAAATACAAAACTCACCTCTTTGGCCACAACGGAGATCTTGGCATCATTAGTGATTACACATTCAGCCACCACTAACATCATTTATCACCGTTTATTATATTATTACATTATTTTACACATGCTATTTATTTTTGTCATATTCCGGCTTCTGTTTGATTTTCATCGTTATTTTTTGGTTTTTGGGCAAATTTTATGTTGTTGTTACTATGGTTAGGGGCATTGAAATGCTCGGCAACAGGGAATCCAGGGAGATTTTTGCGGATGGAGGACTTGTGGCTATTAATTCTAGTACGAAATTTAGTGCTGCTCTCACCTATATAATGAACATTGGGGCAAATATTGCAGGTAATTAAGAAAATAATATTAGAAGAATCACAGTTGAAAGGAGGTGGATGAATGGTATGTTTGCTATTAGGAATTTCAATGTTGCTGTCAGTAATGAGTAAAGTGCATAACATACAACGAGGTTTATTACATTTAAGGTTACCGTGGTTAGGGTTATCATTAATATTAGAAGAAGAAAGAAGAGATTTAAGGTTGCTGGGTTGGCGATTGGCAAGGAGAGGGGGACAGTCAAATATGGTGTTAGTGGATTCGTGCTGTTGAAGTATGGAGAAATCTTTCCTAATTGTGTTAGTGAGAACGGACACTTGGGGATGAAAGTCAAAAACTAGAGGAATTCGGTCAGTGGTGGATTTGGGTCGGGGTCGAGAAGGTCTTGGTGGGATCGTTTATTAGATTTGGCTATTTGGGATTGGATGAGGGGGATAGGGTAACCGCTGTCAATAAAATATCCTATGAGTAGACCGACATTGGCGGTGTAATCGGCCTCATCTGAACAGATCCGTTTAAGGCGAAGGCATTGGCTATAAATAATAATGGCGTGACAGGCCTATGCCTCATTTACTTGAAGTTATGCCTATGCAGAATCTGTTGTAAGACCCTCTCTTTTTCTGGAATACAGCCAGCAATATTGTTTCAAAGCAGTGAACACTAAAAAATCTTAACTTTAGCAGTCATGTTGTAAAAGTTGTAATTTTAATTTATTAGGCCCATTTTCTCTCCAGAAAGATAATTTGTTCATAGGATTAAGATTGGAAAATCCATAGACTAAGTACACCGGGGTGGCGCCAGGATTTGTCCGGAGTCCAATGTCCCCGACGAAAAAAAGCGGGCGTGGTCGGGCGTCCCTCAATATCC